ATATGGGATTTAGGGTAGGAGGTCTAGGCTTGAGGCCTGGCTGTATCAGTTAGGTGACCTTCCTGAGCCTAAGTTTTCTCGTATTTTTTATAGAGACAGGGTCTTGCTATGTTGCCCAGGCTGGTCTCGAATTCCTGGGCTTAAGCAATCCTCCTGCCTTGACCTCCCAAAGAGCTGGGATCACAAGCGTGAACCACTACATCCAACTTCCTGCTTTGTAAAATAACATCTACAGGCTGAATGTCCCTAATCTAAAAGTCTGAAATCTGAAACTTTTTGAGCATCAACATGATCCTCAAAGGGAAGAATCTTTGGAGCATTTCAGATTTTCAGATGAGAAATGCTCAGCTGGTGAGCATAATGCAAACATTCCAAAGTCCAAACTCTGAAACACTTCTGGCCACAAGCACTTCAGATAAGGAATACTCTCCTTATGGGTAATTAACAAACCAACACCATCCTTTTTATTGTTTATTGTAGAGATGGGGTCTCCCTATGTTGCTCAGGCTGGTCTTGAACTCCTGGCTCAAGCGATCTTTGTGCCTCAGCCTCCCAAAGCACTGGGATTACAGGCGTAAGCCACCACGCCAGGCCTATTAACACTATCTTAGGAGACTAACGCTATCTTAGGAGGCCTATTAACACTAAATTAGGAGCAGCATGGCAAAGTAGAGAAAACATGGCTTGTGGAGCTTGCCGACTTCATTCAAAAGCCAACTCCGCCGTGACTTAGAAGTTAGGTGACCTTGGGCAAACTCCGTAATCCCTGGCACTTCGGTTTCTTCATCCGCAAATGGGCTGTTAATGACTTCATGGAAGGGCTCTTGTAAGATTAGAGATGATATTAATAAAAAGGTTAAAAATAATAACACACAGCCAGGCACAGTGCCTCATACCTGTAATCCCAACACTTTGGGAGGCTGAGGTAGGCAGACTGCTTGAGCCTGGGAGTTGCAGACCAGCCTGGGCAACATGGTCAGATGCCCATTTGTACAAAAATTACAAAAATTAGCCAAGCGTGGTGGTGCACGCCTGTAGTCCCAGCTGCTTGGGAGGCCAAAGTGGGAGGATCTCTTGAGCCTGGGAGGTGGAGGTTGCAGTGAGCCGAGATCATGCCAGTGTATTCCAGCCTGAACAACAGATTGAGACCCTGCCTCAAAAAAATAAAAATAAATAGTAACAATCGATAACATCTGAGAGCCTACTACGCACCAGGAACTGAACAAAGAGCTCTATGACTGATTAACTCAGTTTTCACAGCCTTATGAGGTAAGTACTATCACTACCTCCAGCTTACAGTTGGGGACACAGACTTGGAAAGATGAAGTCACCTGGCCAATGTCAGATGGCTAATGTGGGAGAGTCAGGACTCAACCTCAGTCACCCAACTTCAGGGTCCACAATTTAGCCATGGTACTAGAAATATTTCTCTTGTACAGTGTACAGGTAAAAGCCCTGGCCACAGCAGGTATCCAGTGTGATTTAATGAGGGAAGAGAAAAGACTCTGGAAACTTCAGACCTCCACACACATAAGGTTAGAAGATCATGATGAGGTGGAGGGAACAGAGTTTCAGCATCCTGGTGAAGAGAAACAGTGAGAATCAACAAAATACAAGTGCTCTGGGACCCCACAGCTCCCACAGTCTATGGGTTTTACTTCAAGTTCATCTTATAAGGCCAGGGAGGTGATGTGAGAACAGATGAGCTATGAGAGGAATGTTGCCTCCCTTGGTGGCAGCTCCGCAGGCTCCCAGGGCCCACCCATGTCCTCACTCAGGGTGGGGGCGCAGAACTTCCATTTTACAGATAAGGGAATGAGGGCCAGTTCAGGAGCTGGGTCCTGGACCCTGGTCTCTTTATCTTGAGTACTATTTTTTTTTTTTTTTTTAATCGAAAGTACTATTCCACACCAGGAATGCACCGTGTACCAGCCCTGGACAAGATGGGCTGGATTCCAGCTGATCTGCCCTTCCTATCTCAGGCCCTCTGCTCTAAAGTCCTTTCAGCATCAGGGTGTGGCTCTACCTTTAAGAACCTGCCCAACACCCCTCCTGCTGGACACAGTCCAATCCCCACACCAGAGGGAATTCCTTCTCTCTTAGGGCTGGCAAAGCCTGTCTCTCCAGCCTGGCCCTGCAACCTCCCAGGCATCTGGCCCCGGGCACGTCCCAGAACCCCTCTGAGAGCATAAATGAGGCAACCCAGCTGCCTAACGCACGGCGCTGTTGCAAGGAGGCCCTGATTAGACAATGTAGGATAAAGCAGTTCACAAGGCATTTCTAAAAAGTAAGTTGTGGCCAGGTGCGGTAGCTCACGCCTATAATCCCAGCACTTTGGGAGGCAGAGGCAGGCGGCTCACCTGAGGTTGGCAGTTTGAGACCAGCCTGGCCAACATGGTGAACCCCATCTCTACTAAAAATACAAAAATTAGCCGGGCGTGGTGGCTTGTGCCTGTAGTCCCAGGTACTCGGGAGACTGAGGCACGAGAACCCAGGAGGTGGAGGTTGCAGTGAGCCGAGACTGAGCCACTGCACTCCAGCCTGGGTGACAACAGCAAAAGTCCGTCTCAAAAAAAAAAAAAGTATGTTGCAACACCCTCATTTTCCAGCTTCCTTAACGTAAATGCCAGCTCTGTGGTCCTTATCGTGCCCGTCATAGTGCCTGGCATAAAATACAATCAATGCAAACACTACACAACTCCTATCCCTCAGGGACAGTGCTAGGTGAGTTTACAAACTCTTCCTCATTTAAGACAAAAGCCCCACGAGACTGGGACTACTGCCTCCATTTGGCAGATGAGGAAACCGAGGCAGAATGAGGGTAAGGTCTTGCCCAGGGTTCACCCACCACTAGAGTGTAAGCTTGATGAAGACAGCATTCATGTATTTTCTTCACAGCTGCGGCCACACGCCTTAAGATAGTGTCTGGGACACGCAGGTAGGACCTTAGGAAGTATTTGCTCAGTAAGTCAATGATGGAGATAAGATTGAACTCAGTTTTTTTATTGCTGTTGTTTGTTTTTTTGAGATGGACTCTGTCTTCTAGACTGGAGTGCAGTGGTGCATTCTTTGCTCACTGCAACCTCTGCCTCCTGGGTTCAAGCGATTCTCCTGCCTCAGCTTCCCTAGTAGCTGGAATTACAGGTGTGCACCACCACGCCCAGCTAGTTTTTGTATTTCTGGTAGAGATGGGGTTTCGCCATGTTGGCCAGGCTGGTCTCGAACTCCTGACCTCAGGTGATTTCTCCCACCTCGGCCTCCCAATGTGCTGGAATTACAGACGTGAGCCACTGAGCCTGGCCCTGAACCCAGTTTTTAAAGATGTAAAACTAATTCCCTGTCCATGGTATAAGAATTGTGTTGCGTGAATATTTGCTTTACTGTGTGAAGGCTGTAAGTATTCTGGCGGGAAGGGCTGACACCCAGCTTGGAATAGGGAATTGGGATTTGATGTGAGCTGCATGCTTCACCATGCCCAGCCTTGGAGAATGACTTTTCCATGTGGCTTGTTCCTCCCAAGACAGTCACAGCCTTGGACTGGAGCTGACATGACAGACGGACCCCACTGGTGTCAGCACCAGCCCGGGATGGTCCTGGGGTGCAAGCTAAGGCTGCAGCTGGGACTGGGTCCCCTGCAGGCAGACAGAATGAAAGGGGTTCTGGTCTGAGAATGGCTCCCAATCCTGCGCCTGAAGACCTGCCCCTTGCCAAATCCAGGGCGTCCCTGAATGCAGCAGGCCCGTGCCCCTGGAGTTCCCTCAGCCCAGACCTGACCTGGCAGGACCCCACTCAAACCTGGCCGCGGGCCTCTGCAGTCTGAGATTGGTGTTAAACACAGCCAAGCGTAACCACAGGAAGTGATTGTGGCTGCAGGACCCTAAAGTCTGGAGAATGACTTTTCCGTGTGGCTTATGGAAATCAATCTTGGAGACACAGGGATGCAGTCACTTAGGCAGACCTTCGGTATCATTTTTTCCTATCGACATACCATCTGTACTATTATTTCCTTAACGTTTTTCTTTTAACGAATCCATCTTTTTCACTTATTCTTAAAAGGAAGCCTCATGAAAAGTTTAAAAGAGCAACAAAATAAGGCCTGTCCAGAGATTTTGTGCTCATTAGCACACAGCGTTCCAGGTGGCTATAGCCTTAAAAGACTTTAAAATGTCAATTCTAGGTTGGGTACTGTGGCTCATGCCTGTAATCCCAACACTTTGGGAGACCGAGGTGTGCGGATCGCTTGAGTCCAGGAGTTCGAGACCAGCCTGGGCAACTCGGTGAATCCCTGTCTCTATAAAAAAAAAATATAAAACTTGACTGGGCGTGGCGGCTCACACCTGTAATCCCAGTTACTCAGGCGGCTGAGGCAAGAGAATCACTTGAACCCGGGGAGGCAGAGGTTGCAGTGAGCTGAGATCACACCACTGAACTCCAGACTGGATGACAGAACAAGACTCCGCCTCAAAAAATAAAAAATAAAAAAAAATTAGCTGGGCACAGTGATGCACACCTTTAGTCCCCGCTACTTGGGGGGCTGAGGTGGGAAGATTGCCTGAGCCTGGGAGGTGGAGACTGCAGTGAACCTTGATCATGCCACTGCCATTGCACTGGGCAATACAGTGAGACCATGTCTCCAAATAAATAAATAAAAGGGAAAAAAGGGTTCCAGCTCTAGCGCTGCTATTGCTGGCTCATGACCTTGGCAGGCCCGTTAACACCCTTGAGCCCGAGGTTCTTAATCTGAAAACTGGTGTCATTTTCGGAATGCTTCCTCTGAAGGTCAAATAAACAGCAGATAGAAAAGGGCCTCATATAAACCCCACATAGGAGATGATTAAGGGAGAGCTGAAGCACAATCTAGCAAGAAGGCAAAACCCAAGAGTCGCCCCAAAATGCTACAAGGAACCTTGCTTCTTTCAGCCTGAGGCCCGTGGGCAGGACACTGCTCGGAGTGGTGACAGAAGAGGGACAGAGAGAGGAGGCTGAGAGGTGGCACTTACAATGTCTGAATTTTGGTGAACTCAGGGACTTCCTCTTTTTTCTTTCTAAAGAGGAACCAGTAGGTTAGGAGGCCCACGATGACTGAAAACAGAATCACGTCCGTCATGCTGAAAAGAGATACTTCTTCGGCCACCGCCTCGGACACGGTGGAGCTGGTGTCCACGTGGGAGTCCCCCATGTTGATCATGAAACTGTTAGGAGACAGAAACAGCAGACGTCAGCACCGGGGAGCAGGATGCCCCTGAGGCTGGCTGGGGTGCCCACCTGAATGCTGGGCCTCATGCCCCTGGGGCTGCAGAAAATGGTCACTGCACTGGGTAGGAGGAGCGGCTCACCAAGCCAGGTTCCTGCCAAGACAGCCACAGCCTTGGACTGAGGCTGACACAACAGACGGCCCCCAGTGGTGTCAGCACCAGCCCAGCGTGGTCCTGGGGTGCAAGCTAAGGCTGCCACTGGGACTGAGTCCCCGGTAGACAGACAGAATGATAGCCACTGACTCAGTGTGCTGGAACTTCCTCCAATCCCACAAGGACACTGCACGGTGGCAGGAGGGAGTCCACGCGAGACAGGACCACTTTGCAGCAAACCCTTTCCCCAACTGTGTGGCTGGCTGGGGTTGTCCTAAATCCTGCGTGCTCCAAAAGTCTCCAGGCCTGGCCCTTGAGTGGTTCCTGATATTCACGAGCCTTGGACTATCCTGCCTGGCAAGAGTGTCTCTGTGTTCCTAAGACCTTGGGCTATGAAGACAGTTCCTGTTAACAATGAGATGTCTGGTGAATGCCCGCTTTCCTATGCCTGGGTGTCTTTTTTTGTTTGTCTTTTTTAAGAGACAGAGTCTTGCTCTGTTACCCAGGCTGGAGTGCAGTGGTGCAACCACAGCTCACTGTAGCCTCAAACTCCTGGGCTCAAGTGATCCTCTCAGCCTTCCAAGTAGAACTTCTATGATTACTGGGGTGCGCCACTGCATTCATTTTTAATTTTTTTTCCTACTGACAGGGGCTTGCTATATCTCAAACTCCTGGGCTCAAGTGGTTCCCCTGGTTTGGCCTCCCAAAGCACTGGGATTACAGGCATGAGGCCCTGTGCCTGGGGTTTCGAATCGTGCTGTATCGGTCCGATGTCTGTGGGTACTGGAGATGGAATAAGCAAGCCTTCGTACCCAGACGCTCCACGCCTACACAACTGACCCACCAATAAAAACCCCGGAAACCTTGGCTTGGGTGACCTTCCGTAGGTGTCAGTTCTTCACAGGTGCTCTCACACATCGTTGCTGGGAGAATTAAGTGTGACCAGCAATGATGGAAACTCGTGTGTGACCACCTGGACACTCACGCCTGGCCTCTCCTGGACTCTGCCTTATGTGCCCTTGACCTTTCCTGATTTTAATTTGCATCATTTTGCTGTAATAAACTGTCATCGTAGGCAAAAAGCTTTCCTGAGTTCCGTGAGTCCTGGTGAATCACTGAATCAGAGGCAGTCTTGGGGAACCCCCATGTCACCAGCCTAGTTCCCTCGAAAGATGCTCAACTGGTCCTTCCACCACCGACACCTGATAGGCAGATCTGACATGAGTCAACAAAGGTCCAAGTGAGAGTCCCTGAAACAGCAGCTTCGGCTGCTTACCGAGGAGGCTGGGTTCAGCCCTGAAGTTCACATCATTCCATTTTGCAATCACGGAGATGACCGACTGGGTTTCTTTCACCACAAGCAGAGCACCCAGACTCAATCAGGAAAGCCTGAGTCATGTGTCAGCAATTAGGCAATGAAAGACCATGTTCTAGCTGACTGCCAATGGCTGTCACTGTCACCAGGAAACCACAGGGCTGGTCTGCAAAGCTAGGGCATCCGAGGGTTGTGGGCATCAGTCTACCCCTACACAACCTGCTGGGAACAGGCCATTCAGGACAGGCCCGTGAGCTTGGGTCTTTGCTTTCTCACTAATCTGAGATGCTTTTCCAATGGTTTGAGCTCGTCTCAATTTAGCTTTTTTCTTTCTTTTTTATTTTATTTTTTTGAGATACAGTCTCTCTCTGTCGCCCTGGCTGGAGTGCAATGGCGCCATCTCAACTCACGGCAACCTCCACCTCCCGGGTTCAAGCGATTCTCTTGCCTCAGCCTCCAGAGTACCTGGGACTACAGGTGCCCGCCAACACTCCTGGGCTGATTTTGTATTTTTAGTAGAGACGGGGTTTCACTATGTCAGCCAGGCTGGTCTCGAACTCCTGACCTCAGGTCATCCACCCACCTCGGCCTCCCAAAGTGCTGGGATTACAGGCGTGAGCCACTGTGCCTGGCCTCAATTTGGCTTTTTTGATATGACTTTTTTTTTTGGCGGGGGTGGGGAACAGAGCCTCCCCCTGTCACCCAGGCTGGAGTGCAGTGATGCGATCTCGGCTCACTGCAACCTCTGCCTCCCGGGTTCAAGTGATTCTCCTGCCTCAGCCTCCTGAGCAGCTGGGACTACAGGCACACGCCACTGCACCCAGCTAATTTTTGTATTTTTAGCAAAGACAGAGTTTCACCATGTTGGTCAGGCTGGTCTCAAACTCCTGACCTCATGATCCACCTGCCTCGGCCTCCCAAAGTGCTGGGATGACAAGCATCAGCCACCGCACCTGGCCAGGTTTTTTGATACGACATTAAAGGACAAAGTGAATTCTGTTGTCCCCAGAGAAAACCATTTATATTTAATCTTATTAACACATTTAATATTTGCTTAATGCTAGTCATATCAGGATCTCTGTCAAGCTTATGAGCCACCTGTCACATTTTCATAGAACCAGATGGAGAGGCATTTAGGATCTGCTTTGACAGATTCTGGAAGGACTTGTCCCGCAGAATCATGAGGCAACAGACACTCAGGGCCTGACTGGAACCAGTTGGGAGTGCCATGGTGACAGAGGAACTCCCCTAGCTGTCTAGCTGTTATCTATCACAAGGCAGCAGCCAAGAAACTTGTGCTGCCTGTCCCTCACCCTCCTCCCTTCTAATTCCCCAAGTGACCGGTCCCCTCATTTTCCAGAAGAGATCTAATGCCCATGAAGTGAAGTCCTTCTCGACACAGACTCAAGCTGACTGCATAACTCATGGCAGTTCCTACTAATAAATCGACGACGCTGGGAGTGAGGTTAACGCACATCTGCACCCACGTAATCACTGCAAGAGACTCCTGACGGACGTGCCATTCCCCACACAGCGGCCAGGGGGATGCTTTACAAAGGAAGTCAGGTTGGCCAGGCACAGTGGCCCACGCCTATAACCCCAGCACTTTGGGAGGCCGAGGTGGGTGGATCACGAGGTCAGGAGATTGAGACCATCCTGGCTAACACGCTGAAACCCCGTCTCTACTTACAAAAAAAAAAAATACAAAAAATTAGCCGGGCATGGTGGCAGGCGCATGTAGTCCCAGCTACAGGAGGGACTGTAGTCCCAGCCACAGAGGAGGGAGGCTGAGGTTGGAGAACGGTGTGAACCCAGAAGGCGGAGCTTGCAGTGAGCCAAGATCGCGCCACAGCACTCCAGCCTGGGTGACAGAGCGAGATTCCGTCTCTAAAAAAAAAAAAAAAAATAGATCAAAACCCTGAGATGGGCCAGGCACGGTGGCTCATGCCTGTAATCCTAGCACTTTGGGAGGCCGAGGCAGGCAGATCACCTGAGGTCAGGAGTTTGAGACAAGCCTGGCCAACATGGTGAAACCCTGTCTCTACTAAAAATACAAAAATTAGCCAGATGCAATGGCGCGCACCTGTAATCCCAGCTACTCAGGTGGCTGAGGCTGGAGAATCACTTGAACCTGGGAAGCGGAGGTTGCAGTGAGCTGAGATCACACCACTGCACTCCAGACTCCAGCCTGGGGAACAGAGTGAGACTCCACCTCAAAAAAACAACAACAACAAAAACCCTGAAATGTCTTCACATTATACTTCATACAAAAACCTAAAGTGGCCGGGTACAGTGGCTCATGCCTGTAATCCCAGCACTTTGGGAGGCCGAGGCGGGTGGATCGTGAGGTCAGGTGTTCAAGACTAGCCTGGCCAACATAGCTAAACTCTGTCTACTAAAAATACAGAAATTAGCCAGGCGTGGTGGGGTGTGCCTGCAGTCCCAGCTACTTGGGGAGGCTGAGGCAGGAGAATCGCTTGAACCTGGGAGGTGGAGGTTGTAATGAGCCGCGATCATGCCACTCCTCCAGCCTGGGTGACAGAGCGAGACTCCATCTCAAAAACAACAACAAAGCCCTGAAGTCTTTACGTAGCTCATAAGGCCCATTACCATCTGGCCCTTGGAAGCCACACTCCCACCACCCACATTTCTTCTTTTTTTTTTTTTTGAGACGGAGTCTGCGCTGTCTCCCAGGCTGGAGTGCAGTGGCGTGATCTCGGCTCACTGCAAGCTCCGCCTCCTGAGTTCACGCCATTCTCCTGCCTCAGCCTCCAGAGTAGCTGGGACTACAGGCGCCCGCCACCACGCCTGGCTAATGTTTTTTATTTTTTAGTGGAGATGGGGTTTCACCGTGTTAGCCAGGATGGTCTCGATCTCCTGACCTCATGACCCGCCCACCTCGGCCTCCCAAAGTGCTGGGATTACAGGTGTGAGCCACAGCGCCTGGTCTCCTACCACCCACATTTCTTACTACGCTCCCCTTCTTCACATCTTGCAGGTCACACCGGTCTCCTTCTGTTTCAGGGCCTTTGCACATGGCCATCTCGTTATTTGCAAAATTCACTCCCTCATTTAAATTTCTGCTCAGATGTCACCCACCATCTCAGAGAGACTACGCCTGAGAATAGAATCTACAACTGCCCCCTGGCCACAATCCCTACCCTCTGACCCCTCAACGGAGCTTATCCCTACCTGAAATTATATTATACATTACCCCACCACTAGCTATCTCCCTGACTAGAGGGTCAGCCCTACAAGGGCAGGGACTTGGCTTAGTTCACAGACTGGCATATGAGCATTTATGTTGATTTGTTGAATAAACAAACATGTGATCAGAAGGCAAGAACCTTCTGATTTTCGGGTACCTGGATTGGCAGTGCTTGGCTTACAGACTATGGAATGCCTTTACAATCTGAAAACCACACTACAACTCCATCAGGACAGTCTGCGAGGCCGACTCTATTCCCTCCTCTTCACGCTGCCTGTCTCTAACACCTGCACTCCCAGCTTCTTTCAGCCTCTTCCCTGA